CCCAACTTCCTAAATGCTGATTCTACCCTCTGCATTAGCCACAATATACCTTCCATCCTTCAACTGTCATGATCGTATGTGCTGCCGTGTCAAACTGTTTGCTGTGCCTTCTGCTAGGACTGCCCTTCATTCTCACTTCTTAATTAAGATCCTGCTCAGATAACACCACCTCTTGCAGAATTGATCGCCCTGTCTTCTCTGATTTCTAGCACCTTGATAGTATTTCTAATATAGCACTTATTATAGAGTATCTTAATTATTTGTTCATAATTTTGTCTTTCCTTAGTAAACTTTAAGATCTTCAAGAGCAGAAACTGTGTCTTTCTGGCCTTCAAAATCCCAGATCCTAACCTGGAACGTGGCATAGAGTGGGTATTTAGGTAAAGCTTACTGAATGAGTCAATGGATAAATAAACCTCACTTAAAATTGAAGCAGCAGTAGGTAGACAACATGTTTTTCCCCTCCTCCGACCACCTCCTTGCCTTCGCCCTAGCTCAGCAATCTGCTCGGAAAAGAGAGCATCTGGAATGGACCACAGAAGAAAAGAACATCCTAAAAACATGGTACGCGTATTTATTGCTTTGCTGGTGTTCCCCGGGCAAGACATTGATTCTAAGGCACTGGTATTATATATTGTAATTAAAAATTAGAGTTTTTTTTAACGTATCAATAAAGACCTAGGGTTTAAAAATCTTTCAATTTTCTAATGCACGTTAGGTTATCCAGTTATAAAGGGTAAAATGGGTCTAGGGGTAGGAATACTAGGCTAGAGTTGACAAGGAGGCCCAGATCTAGTCCAATCTCAGCCCAACTTGACGGATAACATTTATACTTAGAAAAATGTGCCATTTTTACTTCTTTTACATGGATTATTTCATCATTACTTTGAATTTCCTTGAGCACTTACCTTTTAATCTGTCCTGTTATACTTATTGAAGAGAATTCGCTGCGGAAAAACAGAGTAATATTCAAGACTTTGCTTTTCTACTCTCTAAAATCATCTTGGAAAACTATATACCTTTTTAAGTTAACATGTTTTTAATCGTACATTTAAATAGTTGCAAAGGATGTAACTTAAAGTATATTGAAAACATAGTCATTAAAAATAAAACTGTCTTATCACTCTTTTAAATGGATTTAATAAAATCTAAATTCCATAGTGATTAGATGCCACCATTTACCCATTAAGAAATATATGAATAAGATCTTTTTAACAGTTGAAAACCTACATAGTTCCTTTTCTCCTTAAATATGCATTTCCATTCCATTTCTTCCACAAGAGTTTACCTAATGTGGCACATTTTTATACTTGCAAATCTTTCATAGATCATGTTATCATATTCCTCTGAAACAAAACATATATACATATATATATATAAATTGATATATTAAAATTTCTTTAATGTTCTGTAAATATAAGGTTCTAGCTCAAAACAATTTCTTCCAGATTGAATTATCATAACAATTGTTAGAAGCAGTCAGTTTTTTGATCCTCTATACATTTATTAAAGTTTTGATGAATATTTATGACATGAAACATAGGTTTTATTGAAAATGCTTCTCTGAATTAGTTACATTATTTCAGTTAGATCATATATCTGTTGAGGAACAATCATTAATAATAGCATGAGATGGTATTATATAAGTTCTTTTTTCTAGAATTTTTTGGCTGTAAGCACTGAGAATCCTATTCACAGAAACAAATAGCTTAGAAAAGAAAGACTTTTTTTATGATCTCCTACCACATTGTGTGCCAAAAATCACATAAGGATAATGATCCAAAAGCATTTTTAAGATTTCTCAATTGACATTTTAATTAGGTTCCTTTTCAGTTTTGTTGTAACCAAAGTGTTGTAAGTCATATGACTTGCAAAATCATGTTACTAGATCATTAGTCATTCACTTTCTCAACAGTTACAGCAGAATTTTGAATTGTACCTTTGTTGGGTCCCCCAGAAATTTGTATACTCTAAGGGAACTCAGGATGAGTGAGAGTTATGACTTCCTTTTGTAAGGTGGGAGAAAGGCATTTATGAAAAAGAGACTTGTTATGCTCTGATTCTTGAGAAAAAATACAAATGGAAGTGGAGAATCTGAAAATTCCCTTAAAACTTTTTGCCAACTGGAGCCCTTGGAAAATCTTCGAGTACCTCTGGGGGGTTCAGTGCACTACAGTCTGAAAGTTGCTGTAATTAAATTAAGTATTCTCAGAGAGGAAGCATGGTTGTACAGGTAACAACAATGAGATAACAGTGCAAAGCTGCCAGAAGCCAAATTCATATTGACTTCTATGGACCAGACCATGCAACTCAGAAGTGGGAAAAACTAACTTGTGTTTCAGCAATCTAGGTGGACTTTATGAATGATCTGAGATTCAAATTAATCCTTGATTTACAGAAACAGAATGTTAAATCTGAAATAAACTTCAGAGACCGTCTCTTCTGGAGAAGGCAATTAAGCATTATTTTTTATTTCAGTTTCGATTAATTGTTAGTGACTGCTTAGAATT